TGACCTTCCTCTGGTTCTGTGCCTTTCTCCCAGGGCGCGCCTTTGTGTCCCCTCTCCAAACCATCCCTCCGCCCCCACCCTCCCGCAGGTCCAGGCTATGCACCCTTGCGAGAGGAGGCGGTGCGGCTGTTCTTGGCACTGCAGGCGCTGGAGGGGGCGCGGCGCCCCGGGCCCCTGATGCAGGGCGTGCTCCAGACCTGCCGGGACCTGCCCGCACTCCAGGACGAGCTTTTCCTGCAGCTGGCTAAGCAGACCTCAGGTCCTGCTGGTCCCCCTGGGCTCCCTGATACTCAGGATCCTGCAACCCTGCGGTACTGGCAGCTCCTCACTTGCATGAGCTGCACCTTCCGGCCTGGGGGAGCCGTCCGAGGGCATCTCCTGGGGCATTTGGAGAGGTAAGAGGGCACGCCCCAGCCAGAGGGCTACAGGGCTGGGAGAGAGGGGCAGACTGGTGCAGCAGTTAGAGAAACGGAGAGCCTAGATCCAAGAGCTGGCCTGGTGCTAATGAAATACTTGGTACCTTGGCGGGAATTATGAGCTCACGACCCACTTGTGACCAGGTGAATCAAAACTAGCCCTCGCTTTGAACAGAAAGAATATTTTAAAAAGTGGGATTTAAGAAAGCATAGTAACGCAGTTGGATTTCAGGTTTTGGTCACTGGAAGATGACGGGAGCTGGAGGAAGTGGGCGGGGCGATAGTAGGAGAACAGGCTGAAGACTTCGAAAATAATTCGGTTACATGTAAAACACCCAGGACACATTTAGGTTGTATGTGAGTTATAAGGGAGGAAACTGACCAGCTATAATGAAAAAAAATTTTTTTTTTCATGTTGGGGAATCGTACCCGCTGAGCTATTTGCATCCTTGCCCGTGTGAAATAAATTACAGTAAAGGAAAGGAAAAGAAGCCGTCCTTGGAACGCTGCTCCTTGGATTTCTTTCAGGACAGAGCAGGCCCTCCCGGACTCAGAACTGGCAGAATACGCACGCTTCATCCGGAAGGCTCTGGGCCAGACTCGGGGCCGAGAGCTGGTGCCTTCGCTCGCGGAGATCTCAGCGCTGAGCAAACGGCAGGAGCTATCGTGCACTGTGCACTGTCCCGGCGCTGGGGCCTGTCCCGTGGCCATCGACTCCCACACCACAGCGGGAGAGGTGAGGCCAGAGAAACCCACCTTCCAGCTAAATGGTATTTATCTGCTTATCTGCTGTACTGGTGGCTGAGGCCAGGGTCTCCAGCGCTGGCTTCTCGTGTCTGGCTTTGGCAACTCCCAAGTGATCTGACTTTCCCTATCCTCCCCTTCTTTCCAGGTGGCTCGAGAATTAGTGGGGAGGCTGGGTTTGGCCGGCAGCCGGAACTCCTTCGCCTTGTATGAGCAGCGAGGGGCCCAGGAGCGTGCCCTGGCCGGGGGAACCCTCGTGGCCGACGTGCTCACCAGGTTTGAGAAGTAAATGTCCAGCCCCAGCCCTACGCCGTAACAGCCACTCAGCTCCTGTCTCTCACCACACGCTCATCTAGGCGTGCCAGCAGCTAGCTGGTCTGCAGACAGGTCCCAGCAGTGGGGTGCTCACCAGGGCCCCGCCTGCGTGCAGGAGGGGGCCCTGCTTCCCGGCCTCAAGGCCTCTTTTTCCTTTCTGCAGTCTGAGTTCAGAGGAAGCTGGACTGGAGGACTCTCCGGACTCCGGGTGGAGACTGTGTCTTCGTCTTCACGGACCTCTGCACCCAGAAGGCCTATCCCCCGATGGACATGAGCTGCCTTTCCTCTTCGAGCAGGTGGAATCTCTGGTTTTCACGCCTCCGAACTTAACCAAAGCCTCAACAACTCTTTTTTTAAACTTTTTTTTTTTTTGGGGGGGGGGGACGGTTTTCGAGACATGGCTTCTCTGTGTAGTCTTGGCTGTCCTGGACTCGCTTTGTCGACCAGGCTGGCCTTGAACTCACCGACCTCTGCCTCCCAGAGTGCTGGGATCACAGGCACGCGCCACCTCACCCGGCTGGCCTAAATGGCTCTTAACCCGGACCATCTTCATAATAGTGGCAACTCCGCGGGAGGCTTTCCCCCCGAACCCAGACCTCCGGTCCCCCCACCCCTGGAGGAGTCTCCTCCACTGACATCGCGCCCCTCCCTCGCAGGCTCACGCGCTGCTGCTGCGCGGCCGGCCGCCCCCACCCGACGACACGTTGCGCGCCCTGGCGGCGCTGCGCCTGCAGAGTTTGCACCGGGACTTCTCCCCGCGGGGGGCCCTGCCGCGTCTGGATCGCCTGCTGCCGCCCCCCGCCCCGCCTCGCGAACAACCGCCGCCTCGCCCCATCCCTAGGCCACAGCCCTCCGCCGCCCTGCTGGCCGGGGCGCTCTGGAGCTCGAGCCTGGCCAAGAGGCGGGCGGACCGGGCCCGGCGCGGCGGCGGCGGCGGCGGGACCGGCCGCTCGACGACGACGGCGGCGGGAAGCCCAGCCCAGGTGGGAGGAGGAGGAGGCGGCACCGGCACGACGGCCGCGGTGCTGCGCGGCTGGAAGAGGCTGCGGGGCATGGGCCAGGCCGAGGCCATGGCCGCCTACCTGGCTCTGGCGGCGCAGTGTCCGGGGTTCGGCGCTGCTCGGTATGACGTTCTGGAGCTGAGCACGGTGAGGGGGAGAAGGGAGAAGGGGACTCTGGTGGTCCAAGCCCCAACGCCTTTATCCCAGAGCTGCAGGCCAGCCCCTGTACACCCACTGAGGGTCATTTCAGTCCCAACATCTAGAACAGCTAGCTGCCCACCTCAAAGCCCCGGATCCTCCGGCCTTTGGGCTTGCACCTCCGGGTGCACACGGCCGCTCTGCACCTGCGCTGTGAGTCAAGGGGCGAGGAGGCTTCCGGACCGCAGCCATCTCCCTCTCCTAGAAATAAAGATGCGGCAGCCCCGCCTCCGACCCTGACCCCGCCCATCTCCCTGCAGGAGCCTGGTGGAGGCGCTCCACAGAAGCTGTGCCTGGGTCTGGGAGCAAAGGCCATGTCGCTCTCCAGGCCTGGTGAGACGGAACCCATCCACAGTGTCAGCTACGGTCACGTGGCCGCCTGCCAGCTGATAGGCCCCCACACTTTAGCGCTGAGGGTGGGTGACAGCCAGCTCCTCCTGCAGAGTCCCCAGGTGAGGACGATGGGGGTTGTGGAAGAGGGAAAATAGAGACAGCTGTAGATCCTAGGGCTCCAGCTGCGGTCAACAGCACGCCTAAGGAGCTTACATTTGATTTGGGTGAGGCGAATGATAGACGAGTCGTCGAAAACCCAAGAGAGAAATACTACCGAGAAGGGGCGGGCAGGATTGGACTGAGAATCCTGAAGCTCCTGCTAAGTAGAGGAGGGAATGCTCACAAAATTAGCCTTAGGAAGATGTGGGGGAAGAGGTGAAGGGAAGGAGGACCCCCAAGAGCAGGGCAGAGACTGAAGCACTTAGGGTGCCGGGGGAGGATTAGGAAGGGGAAAGGGAAGAGAAGGTTTTGCAGACCGGAGCATGCCAGAACCTACCTAGGGGCAACCTTAAGCCCTAGGGCTTATGAAGAGGAAGAAAAGAGAGAGTGAGCCCAGTGGCCCCTGTTACACACTGTCCTCTGCCCTCTCTTAGGTGGAAGAGATCATGGAGCTGGTGAATGCCTACTTGGCCAACCCCTCCCCGGAGAGGAGCTCCCCGGAGCTGCCCTGCGGCAGCTCTGGTCCTCCAAGCCAAGGCCTACCAGATACCTCCCCTCCCAGCCAGGACCAAGTTCTGGAAGAACCCCAGGGACAGTCTGGCTGCTTGGGGCAGCAGCAGGACTGAAGCCTGCCAAGAGGTCGTGACTTTTGTTTTGCCTCTAGCCTGAGCCCGGGAGTGCTCTGAGATTTGAGGAAACCATGGACCCTTTTTGGCCCTGCAGGGACAGGGTCCACCCACACCCCGAGGGCTGCGATGGGTGTGGACAGTTTTCTAGTTTGTTTCTTAATTTATTTGTAGAAGAAAAAAAACCCCTTATTTACACAAAGCCTTCCTGTGGGAGTGTTGTCTCGGTGGGACGGATTGGAGCTCCGTGGCTCGGAACAGCACCCCCCTTCCAGGACGCCCACACACTGGGCTTTTACCATGCACTGAGGGGAATCTGGATACCATGGAGCTCCACCCTCCTTGACCTTCTGGATTTAACCTCCTACTGGCCAGTAGGCTGCCATCATAGAATGGCGGGTGGGGCAGGCGAGGAGGCGGTACTGGAAGCCTGTGATTACTCACCCTCTGCTCCCCATTGACTGGTGTATGGGTGGCCTCCTGTCATCTGTTGGCTGGAAGGGCAGTGAGTCATCAAGACCAGCGCTACCCAGGCCCTACCTTGGTGTTCAGCTCCTGGGCCCTATTTGGGTCCATGTTTGGTTGCCCCATGCTGTCAGAATGAAATGAAGAGATACCCGGGGCAGCGTGCTGACGTCAAAACATCTCTGGCACGACGGGCCTCAGGCCTACTCTTGAATTCTTCTCCTAACAGGTTGGGTTAAGTGGTGTTAGGTTCCTGGAGACACTGGTGATCCTCGGTCTTCTGACTTGCTCAGAACACAGTGTTCCCCTTTGCCACCAGGCGCTGTATCTTTTCCTTGAGTGTAAGAGGTTAAGGCAACATTTTGCAACTGGGAACAGCCCCTTAGGCACCAAGAATACAACTGACCAGGAACTTTCAGTAAGCCTGAGAGAGGGACTGACTAATAAACCAGGCTAGTTCGAATCAAGGGGGCTCGGTGGAATGGGAAGTTGAAGCAGGTGAGGGCCAGGCTACTGTCACGCCCCTGGACATAGAAGGTGTGCTCAGCTAGGCACTGATGGTGGACGCATTTAATCCCAGCACTCGGGTGACAGAGGCAGGCACATCTCTGAGTTCGAGACCAGCCTGGTCTACAGAGTGAGTTCCAGGACAGCCAAGGCTACACACAGGGAAGTTCTGTCCCAAAACAAAACAAAAAAAGGTGTGTTCATCCAGCCTCCCACAGTCACAGATCATGCTCCACTATATTTGTCATCAAGTTTTATTATCTCACTAGAACTAAGCAAGCATATAAAGAGCCAGGAATGAAAAGGAATTGACAGAAGCAGGTCCTACACTGGACAGGAACCTAGAGAGGTGAGATGAAGTTGTGTCAGAGGATCCAGGCGTGGCGAGGGTTGTGCTTCTTGTCCAGAGTGCAGCAGAGGATGTAATCACTGCTCCTGAGTGCCCCAGGAGATGTAGTCTGGCCGCGTGGCCGCATGGTACTCATCAATCAGCTCCTGCACCACCTCCCTGGACCTGTCCATCTCCTCAAAGTTGTCCTTGAAGATGTCCTCCTTTCGGAACTGCTCAAGGAAGGCCCCCCGCTTCCACAGCTTGTCATACTGCTGGCAGGAACTTTCAAAAAGCTGGAGAGGAGGGGAGCTTCAGAATGGCGTCCAGGGATGGATTGGGGAGGCTGATGATGGTAGGCAGTGGGACAGAGTGGCCTGGAGCTAGGGGTGTGTCTCACAGGTGGGAGCACTGCCTACCATTCATTCCCGCCTACCATTCCCGAGGCCCTGGGGTTCATTCCTGGTAACACAAAGACAACAGGAGACTGCTCACCGAGGAGATACTGGTGTGGTTGGCCATCATGAGCCCGCTCACCCGGTGGGCTGAGGGCAGGTAGGGAGACTTCCTGGACAGGGCCACCTGGATGCTGGCTGGGCCCCAGGGGATGAAGTTGGCCAACTTCCTTTCCCGGATCCTCTGCAGGCTCTTGTGGACCTGGGATGGGCAGAGGGGTGGTGACTGCTTCTCCTCCACCCTGTGGGCCTGGGGGTGGGGTGACCGGGACCCCCTTTACCTGGGTGGGGTCCACCTCTCCCTGGATGATGTTGAGGATGGCAATGTAGCAGTGGTTGGTCTGGCGGTCCCGGCCTGTGGACACCATCACGTTCTTGGGCTGCAGCAGTCGCCTCATCACATCTAGGACTGTTGTCTTCCTCACACTGGCCACCTGAGGGAAGGGGGGGTTCACAGGGCACAGTCAGCACTCAGGGAACCACCCAGAAAGATGCATGGGGAGAGGAGAAGAATCAGCCGTGTCCCATCAGCTTGGAGGGGGCAGGGTCTCTGGGAAATGTCTTTAGATCAGGTCTGTGCTGAGCCTCTGCCACGGGATTAGGCTGATGGCTCTCTTGTACATGAGCAGGAGATTGCAACCGGCACCATTCTGGAAGGAGCCATAGGAGACAGGGCAGCCCCTGAGTATAGAGTCCGGGAGTGGGAGGTGGAGAAGGGCTGCAAAGGGCAGCTCCTGGCACAGCAGGGAGAGAGAGGGTCACAGTCCTGGGACACTGCGGGAGTTCTTACTGACTGGTCCGTGGTGAGGGGGGTATAGCCCGTCATAAGGAAGTGGAGCCGAGGGGTGGGGATGAGCGAGGCGATGAGGCCGATGAGGTCATTGTTCATGTAGCCGGGGTAGCGCAGGGTGGTGGTGCTGGCTGACATGATGGTGGACACCTGGGAACAGGACGGCCTTTATTATGGGGCTTGAAGGGGGTGGGGCCTCCCTCCTCAGATCACCCTCCAGCAGACAGAGGGCCTCCACTGCAGGGGCTGGGCTCACCAGCTGGTTGATCTGGGAGAAGGATGGGTTCTGGATGTGCAGGCGGTCTGTGGCGATCCGGTTCAGGGCCGTGTTGTCCAGCACCACCTGGAAGCATGGAAGGGGTCTGAAGCAACTTTTCAGGCAAAAGGGGACCCTGAAATAAGATACAGCTGGGTTTCTACAAACTCTAAAACCAGGAAGTGGGTTTGCTACCTCCAAAGAAATACACTGTCTCTGGTGCATCATGATGCAGAGCAATAGACAAATACATAAAGGTCCTTCACATGCTTTGGCTCTGGAGAGACAACAAGGAGCATGGGCTTTGCCATTTTGGACCTACAGTCTAGCGAACAAGCAAATGCTAGAACAAGGCTGGAGGTATAGCTTGGACTTAGAATTTACCAATCAGTGCAGCAGACAGGGCAGCACACGTATAATTCCAGGAAGCTGAGGATCACTAGCTTGAGGCCAGCTAGGGCAATGACCTTGCTTCATTTCGTTTTTTTTTTTTTTAGTCTTGAGGCTAGGTCTCACTCTGTAGCTCAGACTGGCTTGGAACATATAACTATGTAGCCCAGGCAATTCTTGAACTAACAAGCTATTCTCCCGCTTCAGCCTTCTGAGAAATAGAATTATACGCCACCACATCCATCTGAGACCCTGTTTCTAAATAATCAAAGACAAGTTTAGTTAACAACAGACACAAAGGAATCTCACCTTGCCTGAATAGTGGGGGGTGTGGGAGAGGTTTTGCTACTAAAGTGACCCTGGGCTTCAAGCCTAAGGAGACACTGATTAGGCAAAGCGGGGCTTACGTTGGGCTGGGGAATACTCTCTTTGTTGACTCTTACTGTCCCAAAGTCCCGGAAGCAACTTGGAAGTTGGGATCTTTGTAATCTGGCCCACGTGTCATGTCTTTGTTAGGTGTTTTGTGTGAGCCAGGCCTAGAAAAGGGCAAGGGCGGTCCTTCAAAGGGGAGCTAAATCCTGGCCCGGTCTTCCCTTGGCTCACCACACAGTCCGCATTCTGGGTCAGCCTCTTAAGCGTGAGGAGGGAGTTGTAGGGCTGGACCACCACGTCGCTCATCTCATCCTGGTTGGGAAACACAGAGTATGTCTGCACCAGTTTCTTGGGGTACCTAAGGGCAAAGAAGAGGGAAAGGGGAAGATGGCACCCTGAAGGGGTGGATCTCCCTGACTACCGATCTCCTCTCCACGCACCACAGAGCTCTAGTACAAAAGGAGCAAGAGCAGACCTCCGTCTTCAGTACCCAAAAAATAAGCCATAATTCTGTAGGTCCCAAGGCGACTTCCCGTCTCCCTGCCCTGTTGTTGCTTCCAGGTGTTCCCTGGATGGGTCTGTCCCTGTGACTCAAGGGAGCAGAAAAAAAAAAAAAAAAACTTTTCAGCTCAAGGGAGAAAAGTAACAACATGGAAAGATATTATCTAGGAATTCTGCTCTAGTTCCTGTTACTGTGACAAATACCTTAGCAAAAAATAACTTGAGAAGGAAAGGACTTATATAACCCATCATTTCAGGGAAGTCAAGGCAGGATGTCCATAGTCAAGAGCAGAGGAAATAAATGCATGGATCCTTGCTTGCTGGGGGGCAGCCAGCATTCTCTCCCTTTAGTGCTGTTCAGGAACCGCTGCCTGGGGAACAGTGCTACAAAGGGCTGGGGCTTCCTATATCAATTAATAATCAAGACGGTTCCTTCCAGACATAACAACAGGCCATCTGGATCTAGATAATTCCTCATCCAAACTCTCTTCCTATTGGCTGGTGAGGTGACTCAGAGGATAGAGGGAAGGTGCCTGCCACCACTCTTAAGGACCTGAGTTCGATTCCTGGGACCCACATTGTGAACGGAGAGAAACAACTCCCACACGCTGTCCTCTGACCTCCCCCGTGTTTGCAGCGACTGGTACACCTTCCCCCAAAGTAGGAGTGTCATTGCAATAGTAGCCAGCACAGCAGGGGACCAGGGCTAAGGACCTCTCCAGAAACACCGGCTTACCTGTCATTCAGTCGCTCTAAGAGGTAGGAGCCCAGGCCAGAACCTGTCCCCCCAGCAATGGAGTGACACAGCACAAATCCCTGAATGGGCAGAGAGAAAGAGGCAGTGTCCAGGAATCTCAGAAAGAGGCTGTTTGGAAAGGCTCAGAGATGGAAGGAAAGCTGAGTAACCCTGCCTAAGAAGGTGACAGACTGAGATCCTGATTTTCCCAGTGTTCTAACCACCTTAGTGCCCGCTAGACCATGTCCCCAAGTAGATGCCGAATTGAATGTTTCCGTCACATCACATGCTGAGATCATGCCTGATCTTCCCCCTAAAGCGTGCTTTACTGAGGAACGACGTCACCTCGAGACTGTCACTTCCGTCTGCTTCTCGGTCTATGATGTCAAAGATGTCCTCATGAATTTTCTCGCCCTGTAGAGACGTGGGAAGGGGAAGTCAGGCCAAAGGTTCACCTCTCCGCACCCAAAACTCCACCCCCTCTCTCTGTTGCTATCCTGAAGTGGACTTACCAATCAGAATCTTACTCAACCCAGGAGTGCTCCTCTGTGGATGATTTACATAAAATTTGCATAACCTCCTCCCTAGCATCCCTTTCCCCAGCAAGTCCTTTTGTCTCTTAGTTGTCTAGTCTAGACAAATTCCCAGATTTGCTGGAGCCTTGCCTTGTCCCGGGCTAGGATTACCAAGGGACTCCGGGACTGACACCTGTGAGAATCCCCTGGCCCAGTTGTTGCCAGCCCCTCCTCCGTGCTCAGACAGGTAGATGTTCTCTGGGTTGTAGAGCTTGGCATAGGAGGAGTTGAGGATGGAATGGATCACCCGGGGCTCCAGGTCCAGCAGCACAGCCCGGGGGATGTAATGCTCATCATCTGCCTGTCCCAGGGAAGCCAGGATGGGCCCAGTGAGCGAGGAAGGGTCAAGTCCTGAATCCTCCCAACTCTGCTCCTGCAGGCCCTCCCTCCTTAAGCCAGCCCTTCTGTTCCCATCTGCCCAACGAGTTCCCCAGCACCAGGTCGCTCCCAGGATCCTGGTCAAGTGACTGGGGGGCACCTGGTAGAAAAAGACGTCCTTTCGGTCAGTGCCCTCGGTGGCGAACTCCTCCACGATGCCCTCGGGGCTGATGCCATGCTCGGCACACAGCTGTTTCCAGAACTCGAACCCAACTGAGGGAAGGGGAGGAGGCCCAAGTCTGCTCGAGTCTTAAAGCCACGGAGCCCAGACTCAGAGGCTATTACATTCAAGAAGGTGACGCCTGGGCCTGGAAGGTGTCACAGACCAGGGCTGAGGAGGCAGCTCTTGCCAGGATCATCATGCGCAATAGGGTAAGAAAGGTGGTTCATGGGAAGGACAAAAGGGATTGGTGGGTACCAGGCACGGAGGGATAGAACCAGAGATCGGAGGGGCCCGGCGGTCGCTTGCTCACTCTGGTTGCCGCACTGGCCCAGCTGCAGGGTGATGATCTCCCGGGGCATCGCCGGTCAGATGTGAGTTCACCGGCCCCGGCTCGGCTCGGCGGGAGTCAAGGCTGAGAGGAAAGCCTGGGAGCCGGGCGCGCAGGACATGGGGAACGCGCTGCCTGCGGGTGTTTTGACGCGGGCGCTGGGTCTGCGCGTGTGCAGTGTGGGCCTCTCCGCAGGCGGCGGGCGGCAGAGCCCATCCTGGGCATCATTTTCTCCCGTGGCAGTCGCAGCTGGAACTCAGCACAGGCGCAGAGCAAGGCCGCGCCTCCTGTCACTGTGTGCGCGTGCGCGGGGGTGACACTTGGAGAGCCGAGGAGCCCCCTGGATGTGGGGGAGGGGAGGGAGGAGCGGCCAGGTGGATGCGCGAAGTCACCTTCCTGCACCTGGGGGATCTGCTAGATTGAGTAGCCAGAGCTAAGCCAACTTTTTCGTCAAGGGTTGGGGAATCGAACCCAAGTCCCTGAGCAGGCTAGCCAAGTGCTAAACCACCTAGCTACATCCCCAGCCAGAGCCAAATTTCTTTTTTTTTTTTTTTCTTCAATTTCTCTTTTACTTTCACATATTTTTACCCCCTCTGTGTAGCCTTGGCTGTCCTGGAACTCACTCTGTAGACCAGGCTGGCCTCGAACTCAGAGATCGCCTGCCTCTGCCTCCAGAGTGCTGGGAATAAAGGTTTTTGGCTGTTTTCATGTTCTTACACTATGAGGAATATAAAAATGTCCATCTGTGGCCAGGTGTGGTGGCTTGTACCTTCAATCCCAGCACTAGGGAGGCAGAGGCAGGTGGGTCTCTGTGAGTTGGAGGCCAGGCTGTCTACTCAGTGAATTTCAGGGCAGCTGGGGCTACATAGCGGGACCCTGTCTGATGAAATAAATTACCATATCAGCTCTTGTAAATGCCCTTGCTCCCAAGTCTGACACCATCTGTGTTTGATTCCAGAATCCTCACGGAGAAAGGAGAGAAACAAGAACCTGCTCCTGGACAGTCCTTTGACCTCTCTATATGTGTGCTCCTGGAGCCTGGGAACCAACACTGAATGAACGAATGAATGAATGAATGATTGTAACTAGAAAGTAAGTCCAGGTAGTGGCACATACCTTTCATGACAGGGTCTCACGTGACCCAGGCTGGCCTCCACCTCACTCCATAGCCCATAAGAACCTTGAACTCTTGATCCTCCTTCTGATCTTTCTCAAGTACGTGCATTACAGGCCTGTGCCACCGCAGCCGGATCTTTTCTACCTCCCCACACTGAAGCTCTGTACACCATGTCTATTCCCTCCCCTCTCCAGCCCGTGACAATGACCATCCTTTCTCTCTTAGCAATTTGACTTCTCTGCTTACCTAAGCAGAGTCAAATGGACTTTTTCCATTTATTTCTGTCCATTTCTTTCAGGCAGCAGAATGTTCTTACGACACTTCCCGTTTGTGCCCACGTCAGGACATCTTCGTCTTTTAAGGTTGAAGGATAAGCCTGGCCGGGGTAGCACAGGCCTTTAGTCTCAGGGGCAGGCAGAACTCTGAGTTGGAGGCCAGCCTGGTCTATAGAGCGAGTTCCAGGACAGGCAGGTCTACATAGCGAAACCCTGTCTTGAAAAAAATAATAATAAAATAAAATAAAATAAAAGCCAGGCGGTGGTGGCGCACACCTTTAATCCCAGCACTTGGAAGGCAGAGAGGCAGGTAGATCTTTATGAGCTCAAAGCCAGCCTGGTCTACAGAGAGAGTTCCAGGACAGCCAGGAATATACAGAGAAACTGTCTCTAAAAACAAACAACAACAACAAAAAACCCCAAGTAATCATTAGATTAAAATTAACTAATATTCTATATTATATGTGTGTGTGTGTGTGTGTATTACCTGTTTTTGATCCATTCTTCACTTAATGGCCTCCTCCTCCCTCTTCCTCTTGTGTTTCTAGGACCAAACCTAGGACTTTATTCTCACAAGAGTTTGGCACCCTCCCTCAAGCTATAATCACAGCTCTCTTTTTACTTAAAAACAAAGAAACAAGCGAACAAGCAAAAAACGCTGGGCCTGCAGAGCTGGCTCAGCAGTTAAGAGCACCGGGTTTTACTCCCGGCACCTGCGTGTTGTGCAACAGAACTTTCCTGGGGAGACACAACACACAGGTCCCTGCTCAGCCCAGATAGCGAGCCCACAACAGGCCAAGGCACAGATAACAACCAAGCTCTAAGTTGGTGAACCAACGAGTTTTACCGGGGTCACTCACAGAAACACGGGTGTGGGAGCACACTCACACAGGAGCAGAAATGACTCACGGCGCGTCACCAGAGACCACTGCAGCGTGGAAACAGCCCTTTCCTAAGTGACTCAGTTGCTCTAAACCTCTTGTAGGCAGCTTGACTGGTTTCTGCTTCTTCCAGGAAGCTGGTCTGGCCTGAGCCTTGTTTGCAAGCTCAGCTTCACTTCATCTGAGAGGGACTCTGGCAAGGAGGGGCCTAGTGATTCTTGTCAGCTTCAGGGACTTCCTTCTTTTGAGTTTCTTGAACCTTCCTGTTTCAGGAGCTTCCCAGCATTGAAGAATGTCTCAGTCTCGGGGAATAGAACGTTTTAATCTTGGAGGAAAGCGTTTCACAACACTATGACTAACAACTCCAGTCGCAGAGGTCCTGATGCCCTCTTCCGGTCCCTGCTGGTGCACAGACCCTGAAGCCCAAACACCAAGGCTCAGAAGAAAAGTAAATATAGCTTTAAAAATAAAATAAAAATTTAAATGTTTATTTCTGACTTGTGTGTAGGGCTGGTGAACCCCAACCTTCTCTAAGTGTGCTTAATCTCATGGGTATTTCTTCAGTTCCTTTTTACTTTTTATTTTGAAACGGGGTCTCAATAAACTGCTCATAAACTAGCCTTGAACTTGTGACTCTTTGACCTCAGCTTCCTGAGTAGCTAGGATTAGAGGCCCATGCCTCCTGGCCCAGTTCACTCTTCAGCTATTATGAATGATGCTTCTTTGAATATAGGTGTAGAGCTAGCTAGTTCTTTGAGTCCCGGCTTTCCCTTTTCCCTTCCTCACTTTCTTCCTTCCTTCCATTCTTCCTTTCTTCTTTTTTTTTCTATCTTTCTTTTGAGATATATATATATATATATCCAGAAGGAGAATTACTGGATTGGAGGGTAATTTTATGTTTACTTTTTTTTGAGGAACCATCATAATATTTTCCACACATCTAGCAAAACAATGCTCCAATTTTACTCCAATACCAACACATGTAACTTTGTATATCTTTTGCTAAAAGCTTCCTAGTGGTCACAAAGTGCCATCTCACTGTGTTTTCTCTGTTATTTTTATTATTGTTATTATTAGTTTTGCTGTTATACTTGCTTATTTTGTTATATAGAGACAGGAGCTGATAGAATTCAGGCTAGACTCCAACTCTTCATTTTCTAATAGTGTTTATTTTATGTGCATTAATGTTTTGCCTGCATGTATGTCTGTATGTGTGATCCCTGGGAACTGGAGTAACAGACAGCTGTGAGCTGCCATGGGGGCACTGAGAATTGAGCTTGGGTCCTCTAGAAGAACAGACAGTGCTCTAAACTGCTGAGCTGTTTCTCCTGCCCCAAACTCCTGATTTTACTGCCTCCACTTCCTGAGTGCCAAGATTACAGTGGTGCCATATTTGGCACTTGGCTCTTAATTTTTTTTTTTTTTTTTTTTTTTTTTTTTTTGAGAAAGAGAGTCTCATTATGTAGCCCTCTTTGGCCTAGAATTCATAGAGATTGGCCTGCCTCTGCTTCCCAAATGCTGAGATTAAAGGTGTGTACCACTGTGTCCAGCTTCTCTTTCATTTTATGTTACAGAACATTTTCAGCATACAAGCATGGTTTGTTATTTTCATCCTGAAATCTTATAATAAATGGCATCAGAGTATAATAGCAGAGAAAAGTAAGCTGGTTTTCTTTTCTCCCTACATTAGATTTGTCGAGATTTAGCCATGTTTATGTTTTCTTTAAAAAAATTTAGTTTTCTTTCTTTTTCTCATGCCCATACACACACATATATAGCATATATACTATTTTTTTTAATATTTTATTTTATGTGTATTGGTTTTTTGACTGCATGTATGTCCATGTGAGGATCTCCCTTGGAACTGAAGTTACAAACAGTTGTGAGCTGCCATGTGGGTGCTGGGACTCAAACCCGGGGCCTCTGGAAGAGCCGCCAGTGCTCTTAACCACTGAGCCATCTCTCCAGACCTATTTTTTTTTTATTTAAACAATTTTTAAATATTTGTTTTGTGGGGACGGGGTTGCTGAGGATGGATCCCAAGGCCCTGCAGGTGCTCAGCAAGCAGACCCCCTCTCGGCCACATCCCTGGCCACCACGAACTGTTTATTTAATTAAAATGTATGTGTATGAGTGTTTTGCCAACACACATACACGTATATATGCGTATATGTATGTATATATATATATATATACACATATGTGTATATACATATATGTATAAATAAATGTATGTATGTATATATGTATATGTGTGTGTGTGTGCTATGTACATGCGTGGTGTACACAGAGATCAGAAGAGGACTTCAAGTCCCCAAAACTGGAGTTACAAATGGTTGTAAGCCACCATATGGGTTCTGGGAATTGAACTCTGGTCCTCAGCAAGAGCAACAGTGCTCTCAACCACTGAGCCATCCCTCAAGCTCGTACTATTTTTATTTTATTATTATTATGTGTATGTATATATCATGTTTGTATAGGTAGGCAGGCAAGCATGAATCATGGCATACCTGTGGAAGTCAGGGTACACTTTTTAGGAGCTGATTCTCCTGTTGTGCAGGTTCCAGGAATCAAACCCATGTTTCTGGCTTGCATGACAAGTATGTTTGCCCATGGTGTAATTTTTGGTTTTATTTTTGTTTTTGAGGCAGGATTTCTCTGTGTAGCCCTGGCTGTCCTGGCCTCATTTTGTAGACCAGGCTGGCCTCGGACTCACAGAGATCTGCCTGCCTCTGTCTTCTCAAGTGCTGGGATTACAGGGGTGGGCCACTGTGTCCAGCTGCTCCACTGTACCATTTTAAAGCCTCTGTTTGTTTTTGGTAGGCTGGTTGTGGAATCCAGGGCCTCACATATGCTTAGTAAATTCTATGCCGTTGAACTGCATTTCCAGCCCTGTTTCATTCTCTATAGTGGATGAATAAAACAAGTTTATCCTTCACTCATAAGCACTCTGGCCTGCAGGCCAGAAGAAGGCACCAGATCTCATTATAGATGGTTATGAGCCACCATGTGGTTGCTGGGAATTAAACTCAGGACCTTTGGAAAAGCAGCCAGTAAGCTCTCTCCAGCCCCCTATTACTTACTCTTGTACAGACATGCCTAGTGATTCTGATCAGTTTCAGGGTCTTTCTGAAGTTACTTTAGTTGCTTACCTTTTCCTACTTAAGGAGCTTCCTCTAGTATAAAATGTTTTAATCTTGGAAGAAACTGTTAACATAATACATGTTTCTCATTTTTTTTTCTAGTTTGTTGTACCAATTTACACTGTTTTGTTTTTTCTAAATATGAGATGATAATATTTGTCAGTTTCATGGGTCCTGGATGGAATTTATTGTTTCTAGTTATTATAATGAACTCCATTAAACTTTCCTGCCTACCTTCCCCCCAACCTTCTTTCTTTTGGAAGAAAATGAGCGTTTTTGAGTGTGCACTGCCAGGGCAGGCAGCCTGGCACTAACAAGATTACTGCCGCCTGCCAATTCGACTCTTGTTACTATTTGGGATTGTTCCTCTCTGAACTGCCTGCTCTCTGGATGGTCTCTTTCAAACACTGTAACACATTTTTCAGCTAGGCATGGCGGTGCACACTTGTAATCCCAACACTCCGTTGGCTAAAGCAGGAAGATTGGAGCAAGCCAGCCTGGGCTGCAAGTCAAGACATTGTCTTTTAAAAATTCTGTAACGCACGCACGCACGCACGCACGCACACACACACACACATACATTTATTCTTGTCTCAGGGTATGACTTAGTTTTTACACCCAGAAGAGATTTTGATGGGTTTGTGAGGTGGCTCCGTGAGAAAAGCACTGGCCTCATAAGCCTGCTGACCAGAGTTCAATTCCCAGAGCCCACCTACAGGTCGGTGAGAAACCACTTCACAGCTGTTGTCTGACCTCCATATACACACATTGCAGAAGTCTATACACACAATAGAAGAAGAAGAAGAAGAAGAAGAAGAAGAAGAAGAAGAAGAAGAAG